AGAGTCCTGTGGTTTGTCTCCCTCTCTGATTTCATCCTGTTTTACTTTTTCCTCCCTTCCCCTACGATCCTCTGTTTTGTTTCTTAAATTCCACATGAGTGAGATCATATGATAATTCTTTCTCTGACATGTTTCACTTAGCATAATACCCTCTAGTTCCATCCATGTTGTTGCAAATGGCAAAATTTCATTTCTTTGATGGCTGCGTAATATTCCATTGTATTTATATACCACATCTTTATCCGTTCATCTGTCAGTGGACATCTGGGCTCTTTCCATAGTTTGGCTTTTGTGGACATTGCTGCTGTAAACACCGGGATGCACGTACCCCTTTGGATCACTACATTTGTATCTTTGGGGTAAATACTTAGTAGTGCAATTGCTGGGTCATAGGGTAGCTCTATTTTCAACTTTTTTAGGGACTTCCATACTGTTTTCCAGAGTGGCTGCACCAGCTTGCATTCCCACCAACAGTAGAGGAGGGTTCCCCTTTCTCTGCGTCCTCGCCAACATCTGTCGTTTCCTGATTTGTTAATTTTTGCCATTCTGACTGGCGTGAGGTGGTATCTCGTTGAGGTTTTGATTTGGATTTCCCTGATGCCGAGCAATGTTGAGCACTTTTTCATGTGTCTCTTGGCCATTTGGATGTCGTCTTTGCAGAAATGTCTGTTCATGTCTTCTGCCCATTTCTTGACTGGATTATTTGTCCTTTGGATGTTGAATTTGGTAAGTCCTTTATAGATTTTGGATACAGCCCTTTATCTGATACGTCATTTGCAAATATCTTCTCCCATTCTGTCGGTTGTCTTTTGGTTTTGTTGACTGTTTCCTTTGCTGTGCAAAAGCTGTTTATCTCGATGAAGTCCCAGTAGTTCGTTTTTGCCTTTGTTTCCCTTGCCTTTGGAGATGTGTCTAGCAAGAAGTTACCGAGGCCGAGGTCATAGAGGTTGCTGCCTGTGTTCTCAAGGATTTTGATGAATTCCTGTCTCACATTTAGGTCTTTCATCCATTTTGAGTCTGTTTTTGTGTATGGTGTAAGGAAATGGTCCAGTTTCATTCTTCTGCATGTGCCTGTCCAATTTCCCCAGTACCACTCATTGAAGAGACTGTCTTTTTTCCATTGTACATTCTTTTCTGCTTTGTTGAAGATGAATTGACCATAGAGTTCAGCATCCATTTCTGGGCTCTCTGTTCTGTTCCATTGATTATGTGTCTGTTTTTGTGCCAGTACCATGCTGTCTTGATGATGACAGCTTTGTAATAGAACTTGAAGTCCAGAACTGTGATGCCTCCAGCTTTGGTTTTCTTTTTCAACTTTACTTTGGCTATTCAGGATCCTTTCTGGTTCCATACAGATTTTACGATTATTTGTGAAAAATGCTGATGGTATTTTGATAGGGATTGCATTGAATGTATAGATTGCTCTGGGTAGCATAGACATTTCAACAATATTTGTTCTTCCAATCCATGAACATGGAACATTTTTCCATTTCTTTCTTCTTCTTCAATTTCTTTGATGAGTGTTCTGTAGTTTTCAGAGTACAGATCCTTTGCCTCTTTGGTTAGATTGATTCCTAGGTATCTTATGGTGTTTGGTGCAGTTGTAAATGGGATCAATTCCTTATTTCTCTTTCTTCTGTCTCATTGTTAGTGTATAGAAATGCAACTGATTTCTGTGCATTCATTTTATACCCTGCCACTTTGCTGAATTCCTATATGAGTTCTAGCATTTAACTTAGTTTCTCTGTTGTTAGTTTCCCCGTCTATAAAATGGCATAACAACACCTACCCTGCTTACCATACGAAGTTGTTTGGAAATCACATGAAATTAAGTACCCCAAAGCATTGAACTGTTGAGTTTGGTATTCAGCATCTTTTGTCTTCATGCTCCTGCTGCAGTGTCCACCAGAAGGAATTTTGGAATGAAGCGCTGTGGGTTTGTCTTAACTGCTTAAATTTGATTTCCTGGTATTTGCTGGCTTTATTCACAGTTGTTTATTTAGAGGCAGAAAAATTGGCCTTTTTGTGATAGATCATTTCTTATTAAGTAAAGTTTAAGTATAGTGTTTTAGAACGTTTTTTTCTGCTAGCTTCTCACTTCTTCCTTTCACACACCTCTGTAGCACATTCCCTAGAATACTGATTGAGGGCCTGGACTTGAGTGTCAAATTCCGTGGGATTGATGTCAGTCCACTGTGGCCCTTGGGAAAGAGACATAACTTCATTACACCTTAGGGTCTTCATCTGTAAAATGGAGGTGGTAGAAGTGGTCTAAACAAGATAATATATATAAATTACTTAGCACGGGGCTTGGCACATAGAAAATGCTCAAAATGTTTTTAGTATTATTGCATAATTATCGATAATGATTCTGAGAATCCATTCATTCTTTCATTCTTTTATTTATTTATTTTTTAAAGATTTTATTTATTTATTTGAGAGAGAGAATGAGATAGAGAGAGCATGAGAGGGGGGAGGGTCAGAGGGAGAAGCAGACTCCCTGCCGAGCAGGGAGCCCGATGCGGGACTCGATCCCGGGACTCCAGGATCATGACCTGAGCTGAAGGCAGTCGCTTAACCACTGAGCCACCCAGGCGCCCTCTCTCATTCTTTTAAATAAAAATGGCATTTTAATGTATTCTTTTATTTTTCTGTGTATGCTTCTTCTACCCTGTATTGAGAGTATAATTTTCAGTTTTGTGGAAGTCATGAACTAGATTGCAGTTGTTATAATACTGATATTGCACTTTAATTTTCAGTAAGAAATGGTTAATATCAAAAAATTGTTCTTGATTTTTCTAATTAACCTAATTAACCAGGGTAGTTAAGATTTAACTGACTTTATAAAAAATATATATATCAGGAAAAATAGATTTTATTTATCCTCAAATCAGCCCTTGTGAAACTTTAGAGTTTAAAAACTGAAGCTAAGAGAATTTGGGAGACTGCTGCGAGGCTATAAACATGAAGTGGGCAGGATTTGTTTTGTTTCATTCACCATTACATCTCCATAGCCTAAACAGTGCCTGGCAGACAGGGAGTGGTCAGCAGAAGTTTGTACAGATGAATTTTATGAATGCAGATCCTTGTGTCAAGCCTTAATTTCCTTATTGCACAGCTAGATATGTCAGCGTTGCTCAGCATTTCTTAAACTACTCTTAGGCATCTTTATAAAACTGGTTGGCAATACGCGTTTTTAAGTATACAAAATTAATGAGCAGTGCAGCTTGAGTAAAGCTTGGTGTCACCTCTCCAGCTCAGCAGAGGCTTGTCCAGGAGAGGTGATGTGGTCTTCTCTCCAGTGTGGGCTGGAAAGCAGTGGGGAGGTGTGTGAACCAGGGGACGCCGTAAGGAAACCAGGCGTATTTTAACCTCTCTGTCAGAGCTTAGTTCTTTTGTTGCCATGTTGGGAATTTCTAGAATATTAAAATGTAGAAACCGAAGCAATCTAGAACCACATACAAATAATTTTGCATCTAATTTTGGTATTTTTATTTCTCTAAAGTTCTTTGTTACCTTAGTGGGATTCAGTAAGAATTTGTTGGGGCGCCTGTGTGGCTCAGTTGGTTAAGCAACTGCCTTCGGCTCAGGTCATGATCCTGGAGTCCCGGGATCGAGTCCCTCATCAGGCTCCCTGCTCAGCAGAGGGTCTGCTTCTCCCTCTGCCCTCTTCCCTCTCGTGCTCTCTGTCTCTCATTCTCTCTCTCAAATAAATAAATAAAATCTTAAAAAAAAAAAAAAAGTGGTTTCCTTAAAAAAAAAAAAAAAAAGAATTTGTTGTATTCAGGGGTGCCTAGGTGGCTCAGTTAAGCATCTGACTCTTGATTCTGGCTCAGGTCATGATCTCGGGGTCTTGGGATCAAGCCCTGCATGGGCCTCTGCGCTCATCAGGGAGTCTGCTTGTTCCTCTGCCCCTGCCCCCATGCTCATGTGCACACATGTGCACGCACTCTCTCACTCTCTCAATAAATAAAATCTTTTAAAAAAGTCTTAAAAAAAGAATTTGTGGTATTCATGTTCTAACTCCAGAAAAATCTTCATCTTGGAATATGTAAAATGTCTTCTTTTTTTTTAAAAAACTTAACTGTGAACTCTGATTTACAGGTAAAATTCAAATGCATTTTCTTCTGTTATATAATGAATTTTGCAGTCTTTGTATTTATTGTATTACTGTGGTTATCTTCCATAATTCTTGCTTATCATTGGTGGTGTTTTCAAAAGATGACCTCTCCCTGCTCCTTCTAAATCTTATTCTAAGCCCTTTCCCTCCCACCATGTTAAAACCAAAACAAAATTGTCTGGGAGAAACTGATGTCTGTCATTTTCTCTACAGTCTTCAGTAAAAGAAGTTAGCATTCCTTCAGGCCAGTCTAGTATATCACAGCCCTGCTATTAGGAGCCCTTTACAGCTGAATTCCTTCTTTGTTAACATAAGTGCTATTTTCCTTTTTTCCGGAATCCGTCACTTGCCTTAATTCTTTCACGTACAAGTACTGTTTACCTTACTTTATGCACTGTGTTCCTGTTTAAATATAAATTGAATCGTATATATTCTACATGCGTTCAGTAACTTTTCTGTTCAAAAAAGTCCTTTTGTAAAGCAAATAATTACCTGGTAATTGTGGTTTGGGTTGTTTTTGTTTTCTTTTCAGTTGTTAGTGTTGGGTTTTTGATTTATTTTTTCTAGATTTGGATTTTCAAATACATGGTTTACTTAAAAACGGTATAGTTAGAAGTGATTCCTAAGGTCAGTTCTGAACTTTCTCTTATCTGAGTTAAGATGCAGTGAGACAAGCAGTAATTTGAGGTTTTCTGCCCTGAATGTTAAGTTGGTACTTTTCTAAGAAAGAAAACAACTCCAGTTTTCTCTGGGGTGTCCTGTTGTGGATGCTCAGTAGAGGGGTTTTAAAGATAACAGTGAGTAACTCTCATTCTGCCAACTGTCATTTCCTTGTGCCTGAAATCTGTTTTTACCTTACCCTTGCTTCTCTGTGTTGCAGCTGGTGGACAGCGAGGTGGTTATGCTTTCAGCACACTGGGAAAAGAAGAGGACGAGCCTCGTCGAATTACAGGAGCAGCTCCAACAGCTTCCCGGTTTATTAGCAGATTTAGAATCCATGACAGCAAATCTGAGTGAGTTTTATGTTTGTATCTGTACATCACTTTTAGGAATGAGAAATTCAAAGCCCTCTAGGAATACATTAAATTCTTGGTTAATATGATTTTTTGGAAAAGAGTTACTTATAGTTAATTTCATGTCTGATTAACAGAGGATTGGACAGGAAATAGTTTTAAAGTATAGAAATTATTTCCAAAATATACCACTAACCTTTTCTGCCTCAGTTCAGCTCTGGAAACACAATTATAATTTGTTGGTTCTTAGAGTGACTCAGGGTTGTGTGTGTGACATTGGATCTCAGTTTAAAAGTATAAATATATAGGGGTGCCTGGGTGGCTCAGTTGGTTAAGCATCCGACTCTTGATCTCAGCTCAGGTCTTGATCTCAAGGTCATGAGTTTGAGCCCCACATTGGGCTCTATGCTGTGCATGGAGCCCAATTTAAAAAAAAAAAAAAGTACAAATATATAAAATAAAAGGGGTTATAGTGACTTTGTTCTGGTTGTAGAATGTACTCTGGAAGTTATTGCTTTAAAAATTAGGTCTGCTTAAAGCTTCATATCTTGAAATGTGTTTTTTTTCCCTCCTTGAACACTTGAGAGATGAAACAAATCCAGGTAAATCAGGGTGTGGAAGTTCATATTTTTTTGTTTTCATTGGAACGAGTTATGCTGATATTCTTTATTTCTTGGGCTTATAGTCAAAAAATTCCCTTTTGTGTTTGATAGTACCACATGATAGGATAATATCATGGCTCACTCTTTTCTGACCAAGCTTAAGATCTTAGTGACGTATAAGAGGTAGGACTATCTACATGGGAGATAAACTTCCTGGGCCAGTAACCTGATTCAGTCTTATAGGTAGGAAGGTACGGGTACCTTATCATTTCTTTCTGTTTTTTAATATTACCCTTCTTAAGCAAAACCAAAATGATTTACAAAGCCGGTAATTAGTAAATCATAAAACAGTTTTTTGTGTGTGTGGATGAAATGGACCTGAATGGTATTTGGGATACTGTTGCTGATAACAGTAACTAACATTTACAGCACCTATCATATGTCAGAGACTGTGAGGTGCTTTACGAACATTATCTTTAATCCTCACATGAACCCTTTAAAAGTAGCTATTATCATCCCATTTTACAGCTCAGGAAAGTGAGGCTCAGAGAGACTGTGACCTGCTCAGGGTCACACAGTTAATAAGATGTGGATCCAGGATTCCAGTCACAGTGATGGTGTCCTGAGCAGGGAATGAGGCAGGATGGCAACTGTCAGTAGTCTCATGAACTGTATGCTCTTTTTTTTTTTTTTTAAGATTTATTTTATTATTTATTTGAGAGAGAGAGAGAGCATGAGTGGGAGGAGCAGAGGAAGAGGGAGAAAGACTCTCAAACTGAGCATGGAGCCCAGTGCAGGACCTGAGATCACCACCTGAGCTGAAATCAAGAATTGGACACTTATCAGACTGTGCCACCCAGGTGCCCCTCATGAACTGTATTCTGAAAGCCGTGATTACATTCTGGTATCAGTGTTTTGTTATTTCTGAAAGCGGGGCATGAAAAAGAGACCCTGGATCTTCAAAGAAATGTAAAGTAGCTGTGATTGTCCTCTGCCCCACTTCCCTCTTGTGGGTATAGTAATGATCCTTGTCCAGCCTTTGATAGCTAACTAGAGAAAGAGCCTCTGAGACATTTGGGATTTTCTTTTTAGCCACTTTATTTTGACTTATCTTCCTGCATCTGTCTGAGTCATTTGCTTTAAATTGGTTGTGTATTTCTTTGCAGATACGAAAACCTCCCTTCTTTTTTTCCTAGCTGGGAGTACTTTGTTTGATACCACTTTTGTTTGATACCACTTTTCTGAGTAAATGCATTTTGCTACAATTCTAATTATTCTCCTAGGTAATTCTGCTTGGGAAATGCAGTTTATATAAGTCTTCCTTAACATAGAATGTACAGGCCTCAGATATTGTGGGTTTGGTTCCAGACCACTGCCGTAAAGCAGATACTGCAGTCAAGTGAGTCAAAGGAATTTTTTGGTTTCCCAGCTTATATAAAAGTTATGTTTACACTATACTGTAGTCTGTTAAGTGTGTAATGGCATATGTCTAGAAAAATTATGTACCTTAATTAAAAAATACGTCATTGCTGGGGCGCCCGGGTGGCGCAGTCAGTTGGGTGTCCGACTCTTGGTTTCAGCTCAGGGTCCTGGGATCGAACCCTGCATCGGGCTCTGTGCTCAGTGTAGAGTCTGCTTGACATTTTCTCTCCCTCTCCCTCTGCCCTTCCCTCTCGTGCTCCCACGCACTCTCTTTCTCTAACATAAATAAATATTTTAAAAAATACTTCCTTGCTGAACAATGCTAACCATCATCTGAGTTTCCAGCAAGTGGCGATCTTTCTGCTGGCGGAGGGTCTTGCATCCATGTTCCTGGCTGCTGACTGATCAGGGTGCTGGCTGCTGAAGGCGGGGTGGCTGTGCCGAGTTCTTAAAATAAGACAGTAATGAAGTTTGCTTCATCCGTTGACTCTGACTTTCATGAATGATTGCCCTGTAGCTTGTGATGCTGTTTGATAGCATTTTACCCACAGTAGAACTTCTTTCAGAATTGGGGTCCATCCTCTCAGACCCTGCCGCTGCTTGATCAACTAAGTTTATGTAATATTCTGAATCCTTCATTGTCATTCCAACAGTCTTTGCAGCATCATCACCAGGAGAAGCTTCCGTCTCCGGAAACCACTTTCTTTGCTCATGCATAACAAGCCTCTCCTCACGAGGTTTGATCATGAGATGGCAGCAGCTCAGTCCCATCTTCAGCCTCCACCTCTAACTCTAGTTCTCTTGCTGTTCCCACCACACCTGCGGTGACTTCCTCCACTGACGTCCTGAACCCCTCAAAGTCATCCATGAGGGTAGGAATCGACTTCTTCCAAACTCCTGTTCATGTTGATATTTTGACCTCTTCCCATGAATCATGAATGTTCTTAGTGGAATCTAGAATGGTGAGTTCTTTCTGGAAGATTTCCAATTTGCTTTGCCCAGATACACCAGAGGAATCACTATCTACGGCCTTACAAAATGCATTTCTCTACTTACTCTAGCCTTACAAAATGCATTTCTTAAATAATAAGACTTGAAAGTTGAAATGACTCCTTGATCCACAGGCTGCAGGATGGATGTTGTGTCAGCAGGGATGAAAACAACATATATCTTGTTGTCCATCTCCACCAGCTCTTGGGAGACCAGGTTCATTGTCAGTGAGCAGTCATATTTTGAAAGGAATCTTTTCTCCTGAGCAGTAGGTCTCGACAGTGGGCTTAAAATACTCAGCAAACCATGTTGTAAACAGATGTGCTGTCATCTAGGCTTTGTCGTTCCATTTATAGAGCACAGGCAGAGTAGATCTAGCATCATTCTTAAGGGCCTGAGGATTTTCAGAAAGGTGAATGAGCATTGGCTTCAGCTTCAAGTCAGCAGCTGCTTTGGCCCCTAACAAGAGAGTCAGCCTGTGCTTTGAAGGCAGGCATTGACTTCTCCTCTCCAGCTATGGAAGTCCTGGATGGCATCCTCTTCCGACTGAAGGCTGCTTCATCTGCATTGAAAATCTGTTGTTATTTGCAGCTATCTTCGTTAACTCTCCCAGTCTGGAGAACTTGCTGCAGCTTCCCCAACAGCACTTGCTGCTTCACCTGGCACTTGGTGTTACAGAGATGGTTTCTTTCCTTAAACCTCATGAACCAACCTCTGCCAGCCGAATTTCCTTCACAGAACTGAAGAGAGTCAGGGCCTGGCTCTGGATCATACTTCGGCTTAAAGGAATGTTGTGGCTGGTTTGATCTTTGGTCCAGACTGCTCAAACTTTCTCCATGTTGGTAATATGACTGTTTTGCTTTCTTGTCATTCATGGGATCATTAGAGTAGTACTTTTCATTCCCTTCAAGAACTTTCTCTTTGCATTCACAACTTGGCTAACTGCTTGCTACAAAAGGCCTAGCTTTCAACCCGTCTCAGCTTTTGACATGCCTTCCTCACCGAGCTTAATCATTTCTAGCTTTTGATTTAAAGTGAGAGATGTGTGACTCTTGCTCTCAAACAGTTAGAGGCCATTGTACAGTTATTGTGGCCTCATTTCAGTATTGTTGTGTCTCAGGGACTAGGGAGGCTCCAGGAGAAGGAGAGAGATGGGGGAACGGCCCATTGGTAGAGAGTCAGAACACACACAGTATTTATCAGTTAAGTTCTCTATCTTTTATGGGTGTGGTTCATGGCATCTCAGAACAATGACAGTAGTAACATCAAAGACTGCTGATCACGGATCACCACAGTAATAACAAAGTTTGAATTATCGCGAGAATCCCCAAAATGTGACATAGAGCTATGCAGTGAGCAAATGCTGTTGGAAAAATGGTACCAATAAACTTGCCCAGTGCAGGGTGGCCACAAACTTTGGATTTGCAAAAAACACAGTATCTGCGAAGCACAGTAAAACGAGGTATGCTTGTATTGAGCTCTTTTTGAAGAGTGAATTTTGTTTGCTTAAAAGATACCTCTAAAATCTAAGGTGGTTTTCATATACATTGCCAGTCTGAATTACCATTAGCAGTTGAAATACACGCTACCTTTGGTTTTCACTGTATTGCTGTTATTTGTTTGATATTTATACTTAGTAACGAATGACTAACTGTAGAACAGATAGTCAAAACTGGAAGTGTGAAGGCCTCGTATCTGTTGACTTAGAGTAAGCCCCATAGAGAGGTGTTTTCAAATTGAGGCTTTTAGGTAAGCAACTTAAATGTCTTGGACCGGGTGCTGATATTCTTTACAATAGGAAAATATTTTAAAGCCAGATTTGGTGGGGTAGGTTATATAAACATATATCTGTATCATGAATGTAGTGTATGAATTCATTTTTTTATTATTATGTTCAGTTAGCTACTGTATAGTACATCATTAGTTTTTGATGTAGTGTTCAGTGATTCATTAGTTACGTATAACACCCAGTGCACATCACAACGC